TATTATTATTATTATTATCACTTTTTTAAGACACATGATAAATAATCTATCAAAACATCATATTTAGAATATTAGAACATAATTTATTATATTAATTCTAATTATGAACAATCCTTTCTAGTTTGTATTGTATTTGTTGGTATGTAAAACGACTGTAGAGTTCTATAAAATCTCGTAGATAGCACAATAGTGTACCATTATTACAATGTAAGATTGTAARAACTTATATAGGTTATTTTATCATAAATATTAAATCATAATTTATTAATAAGTAAAATTTATATAAATTATATTATGTAAAGATAATGGTAATATACTAATATATATATTATATTAATTATAACAAACAGTTTACTTACAAATTCTATAAAATTAGTGTTCATTATTGGCGAGCCTAAGGAGAACATAAAACGRTGCCCTACAATAATGAAACACATAGATATAAATTTCAATCCATGAATGCATTCTAGGTTGTCTGAAGTCTTCGGAAAGGTAAGCAACTTGCGAACGTTTTTCGATAGTGACAATGATTGGAGTATGAGATGTTTTTTCGATTTTTCTGTAACATGGTTAATATATAACAGATATTCAACGTACTTGGTATCTATAATACATATACTATATATTTATAAAYATTATTTTATAGGGACTTACCGGAAAACTGAAAATGCTCGAATGAAGACATTGAAGTAAACAAATCATAACAGGTACTCGTGCCAATGAAAATTAAGGAGAATCCAATTATTGACCTAAACAAATAAAACAATCTTTGTAAAATTAAAGTAAAATATATTCGTATTTGTACTATAATATTGTCATCTAATCCCTTCATATTATTTTATTTAGCATATATAAAATTAATTTGTCATTATATTAGTTCCATATTAGATTTTCACGAATAATCCCCTGCACAATATTATCCACGCATGTTAATAATAAATACAAAATTGACACGTGCGTTAAATGTTAATGCATATCAGACTGAAAACGATTGCGCGTATGGTTTACCAGCCGATTAGAGGATATTTCAGTGTTTTTAAACGAGCTAAAATAAAAAATAACAGTAGCGTAATTATTGTAGTAGCGCACAAAATCGCAGCCGCAACGATCGTGTTTAATATTATTAATTGTTGAGATGGTGAGTTTTTTCTGTTTAGTTGGCTGCATGGTTAATAGTTAATAAAGATTAACTTGAGCTAATGTGTACTTAATAGCAATTAATAATTATTTTAACACGATTGATAAGGTCCGGAAATTAACGACTTTGCATTTTTTTTTTGTGTTATAAGACAATTTTTTATACCTTGAAAGACATAGGTACATAAGCGATGATCAAGAAAAGTATTATGAGTTAATAGCTGCGTTAACTTATCAGCTATTCATCATTTTTGCAGAGGCTGTAATAAATATATTGCATTTACACAGCACAGTCTTGCAGAACGGAACGGAAAACCATGGCAGCTGATTCAGTGTAAAGGTGGAAATTTGGTAATTATGYWCTTAGGCGATTGAAAACGGTGATTTTCCGTTACAACACGTCGAATATATTATGAGTATAGATGTACTTTGCGTTAATATTTCCATAACACCGATCGATCTATAATGATACGTTTTACATAGAGATCATCAAAACAGATTTAA